CCACATTGCAGGTAATGTGCTTTACATTGCAGTATACCAAACGGACCCTTATTCTTTTCATTTTGGGTAATCAAAGCATTTTATTTACACAGCAAAATTAGGTTTAACTTAACTATTAAGTTATTGTAAAATTGCCTTATGACTTAATTAACCATTTCAATTAAAGCCTTGAAGTTCACAATCTCAAAGCAATTAAGTCCAACTTGATTTCACTAGTTACTTTCTCACTAAGTCATCTTTCTTGTGCGTGATCCATTATATTTTTACATATTGGGAATAAATATAAATTATAATTAGAAATATATCTGGCTTAGATGAATCAAACTCCTTTGCATCCATGTCAATTTTTGAATTGATTAGTTCATATTTAGAAGTAAAGATTGGTTTCTAGCAATTAATACATCAAGATAATCCAAATGTTAAAAAAAAAAATCATAGTGGTTTAAGACAAAAATTTTGACTCTAATGTAATCTATACTAAAAGTTTAAAATTGTTTCTAGTAAACTTTCAATACTTTTTAATATGGAAAAAATAAAAAAATCATAAAAATAAATTAATGTTATAAATATATGTGTGAATGTTTATTATGTTATGACAAAAAAAGTTTAGGCCAAGTTAAACAGTGCAACAGGCCAAACACAAGAAGTGTAATCTGATTTGAACTCTTTGATTTGATTATGTATATCTAGATTTGGATATAGATTGAATTGGATTAAGATTAGGATTTAAAGGGTTATTTATCTATAAATAAACCTCTCACTTCATTGGTAAATACACCATTTAATAAGATATTCTTACTCCCTCTAAATACTTTTTCTTATAATTGTTTTTTCAAGTTATATTTCATAATACGTTATCAGCACGATCTTTTAATCTCTCAAGCTTTGGTATCGTTCAGTTTTTCATCATCTTTAGGTTTCAAAAGGATTTTAATGGTTGGCTTTTAATTTTTAGTTTTTCACTGATTGATTTTTTATTTTTGTTTTAGCAAATCAATTAAGTGGCTTGATATCTATTTAGTGTTTTCATTCTCTAAAAATCAACCTTAATGTGAATTTGCTATCAGTAGTGTATATTATATTGTCTCTTGATTTATTAAATTAGAATGTGAATTTGTTATCTTGTAGTATGTATCATATTTTGTCCATTAATTTATTATATTGGATTGAGTATGTGAATATGTATAATTGTATATGATCTTTTTATTTTGATATTGGAATATGATTTGCTCAATACATGATTTCTTTGTTTTGAATTTCAAATATGATTATGCTCTATATATGTAAATCTATCTTTGATACTATGAGATTTTGCATAAAACATTTTGAATTGAACAAATGAAATTGACTTTGTATGATATTTATTTTGTAACAAGTGAAAAATACTATACTTTGTATAATTTGACAATATATTTTGTTTTGGATTTCAAGTCCTTTTGTAATTAAGCAAAATAATCAGTTACTAATAAAAAATCATAAACCTTATCCTTTCTTTGAAATGAATGCGACATCATTTAATAAATATAGTTATGGACATGAAAAAGATCACCATAATTATTACAATTATGGTGATTACAATCATTATTCTAATAATAAAAATACTTTTAATCCACCAGGAGTATATGAATACTTTTAATCTATCAGAGTGGACGAATAATTTTAACCCATAAAGAGTGGATGACGAATACTTTTAACTCACCAAAAGTGGATGAGAATGGATGATAAATTCGTTTAACCTACCAAAAGTGGATGATGAATACTTTTAACCACCAAGAGTGAATAAATAGTGAAAAACTATATATTAAAAAAAGATAAAAGTGGACAAAATAAAAGGAATATAAAAAATGTAGCATGATAGGTCATTAGTCACGTACTTGTTATACGCTGAAATATCTTGTTGAATTTTATCAAGCATCATTGAAAGCTAAAAAGAAAAAAATCGAAGCAAAATTTGTTCAAAATGATTTTAACGATGGCCAACTTAATATAATACATCTGGATGTTGCTGATTTTTTTATTGACTTCAAAGAAAGAATTAATCATGTGATTGATGATTAAAATATATAAGAATGAAATTTTTTATGTTTTGGGATAATTTTATCATGAAGATGTTTTTATATGTTCTCATTATATTTAAATGATATATTCTTATTATATGTTTTAATTTTATATCTAATGTTTTTTTATGTTAACTTGTCAGTTTTTTAGTATATCTATATATATATATATGTATATTAATATTTATTTAATAGTACAAGATTAATTGAAGGCTCCAAAAGAGCCAATAATATACTACCTCAAAGAACAAAGTTTATAATATAAGATGTATTAGTTTCAACTAAGTCTTAAAGAAATTTATTAAGTTTTAAAAAACTCTTCTAAATGGAGATTTGAGACAATGAATGAAAGAAACACTTAATACCTCTATATTACATTTATTATTTCGAGTAAGAAATCTATGTTGAAAAATTACCTACTTTATTCTCTAGATTTTATTACATAATTATTAGAACTGTTGAAATTCATATTATAGTAAATCATAAGTTTACTAATGATTTAAATGTCTAGTACGACTAGTTAAATAATCCCATATCAAGGATGATGCAAAAATTATTAAAAATTCATGTGGTTATCTGTTGAAAAACTAAAATTTTTTTTAATCTAATTAATTCTTATATATTGCTTGCTCTCAAGGCAAATTAATTATTAGATTATCACTAGCTAACGTTAGAACTGAATCTCTTACACTTTTGAAACATATTCAAGGTGATATATGTGGATTCATACATCCACTATATATACTATTTAGATAATTTATGGTTTTAATAAATGCATTAACTAAATGATCATATATATACTTATTATCAACTTACAATTTGGCATTTACAAGATTACTT